TATATATATATATATATTTAAAATTTCAAAATTTTAAAAAAAAAAAACAATTTTTTAAAATGCATTATCCTTTTTTTTTTATATCATTTTACATTTTAAACCATTAAATTTAAAAAAAAAAAATTCTTCATTTGTGTATTTTTAAATTAAATTTTTTTATTTAAATAACTTTTTTCTTTTTTGTTTGTTTTGCTTTTTCTTCCTTTGTATTCCAATTTAAGTATAAAAACAGCCAAAATTGATCTTAAATATATGGTAATAAATTTAATTTAAATTTTCTAAAATTGCCCACTTTTCAATGTTGAAGTCCTTTGTTTTGTTCCACACAGTTTATTTTATTTCATTTATCTCGTGATAAACTTCCTACCGAAGAAATATTGATTGAGGACTGCAAACATCTCTAAATTGTCAGATCAAAAATAAATATTGAAATAATGTATTCTTTTATTGCAATCTGATCGTGAGGTGCATCATCAATAGATAGGAAAAAATAAATGTCCCGAAAGATAATTCTCTTTTTTAAAATTTTTAATATATTTGCTTCGAATATAAACTTGTATGTTTGGATTTTAATAAAAAAAATTCTAATATTATCCGCAATTTTTCTTCCAAATTTTTAAGTATAAAATTAATTTTGGTCTATCAGTCTATAGCACTTCAAATTTTTAATTTTTGGTCGAATTAATCTTAAATTTCTAATTCAGCCTATATATAATTCTCTTTTTTTATTTTTATAAATCAAATTTTTTTTTTTTGTCGAAAACAATCTTGGTTTTTTCTCTATACAATCTCCATACTTATTTAAAAAAATTTTGAAAAATTTTTCTTTAGATTATTTAAAATTTTTAATAATCATTTTAATATTATTCATCAAAAGATTGGATCCATTACTTTTTTGGTCGAGATTAATTTATTATAATCTAATCAGTCTATACATTCTCCAACTTATTTCTGCCATTTTTTTTTTTATATATAAATTAATTTTAAATAATCAGTCTATATATTCTCCATTTGATTCGGCCATTCTAAAATTTTTAAATAGATTAATCTTATCTAAATTTTAAATATTTTTTTTTTTATGAATATTTTTCGATCATCTATGTTATCATTTCAAATTCTTTTCTGGCTTTTCGATTTTTAAATTTATTATTTACATTGAATTGCATCTTGTTATATATATTAAAAATACTCAAAAACTAAAATTTATTTATAAACAAAAAAAATTTAAAAATATTTTTTTCAAAACTTTTAAAAAAAGTTTTTTTTTATTCAATATTCTCCCAATATTTATTTATAAATTTTTGTATTTTTCCTTGAATATTCCTTGTTCTTGTCTGTTTATTTACGCCATTATTTTTTTTTTTTTTTTGTATTATTCCAAATTTATAAAAAAAAAAAATAAATGAATATTGTTATATATTAGTGTTTCTGAATTTTTTTAATATTTTTTATCGGTTAACGTAAAAATTAAAAAAGTCTTAGAGGTAAATATAAATTTTTTACTTTTTTATATAATATTTAAAAAAAATATCATATCTATGAAGATTGTTTACAATACAATTCTAAAATAAATATATATATAAAAATTATCTATATATATATATATATATATAAATATATATATATATATATATATATATATATATAAAAATGGGGAAATTTATTGAATAATGGAAAACATTGTTTAAATGATGATCGATAAAGCTATAAAGATTTTAAATAAACACGGCAAAAAATTCAAAACATATGCATATATATATATATATAAATATATATATATATATATATATAAAAAAATATTTCCATATATATATATATATAAATTGCCATGTTTGATTTTTAAAATAAATGAATAAAAAATCAATTAAGAAATTAAATTAGAAAAAAATAAACGTTTATTCTTTTTTTTCATTATATAATTATATTATATATATATATATATATATATATATATAAAATATATATATATATATATATATATATTTATTTAAAATATATAAATTCCAGAATATTATATAATAGAAATTATATTTTTAAAAAATTTTCTTTATAAAAAAGATTGTATAATATATGCTATTAAAACATTTTCTAAATATTGAATTTAAAAAATAAAATCCAAAAAAAAGATTCGCAATTTTTTTTAAAATGATCAAATTAGAAAAATTTAAAAATTTTTATTTAAAAATTTTTAAATATATTTTAATTCAAATAATTTTACAAAAAGAAATTTCTTTCAATTTTCTATTATATATAAAATATATTTATATATATATAATTATATATATAAAAATATTATATATATATAATAAATTATTCAATTTAATTTTAAATATGTTAAATATTAAAAAAAAAAAAAAAATAACAAAATTTATTTTATTAAATTTAATTTTTTTTCCTATTTATATTTATATATATTTTTAAATAAATATTTAATGCAACTTTTAATAATATAAGTATATGTATTACTTTAATTATTGAACAATATAGTTCATGCCATATATATATATATACCAGTAAAAAATTTGTTCATCACCATATTTGTATAAAAACGCATAACTTTTAAAAATTAAAAACTCAACTCAGCGTTGCTACTGCGCGTTCCAAAAAAACAATAACTCATTTTCAATAGCATTTTTCGGATACAACAATACATATATTTTCGTTGTCCTCTTATTACTAAGAGAAAAAACAAGAACAACATCTATTCTATACCTGAAGATGTTTGTAGGAACAGACGAAAGCTTGTAGTAAAAATAAGAACTAATACGGCAGAAATTTATATAAACAAGGATCATTTCATTCATAACGGATTCGGAGGTTTTTGTATATTATTTGAATTGTTTGCGATGATGGATTTCTCGCCAATTAAATCATTAACCTTTGCATTAGTTTTTTGTGTGAATAATTCATGAATTTGTAAATTGATTGCACGTTTACGTAATATATATATATATATATATATATATATATATATATATATATATATATATATATATATATTTAACTATAAAATATTATCTAAAATTTGAAAATTAAATAAATAGATGGTCACCAATATAAGAGATTTATAAATATATTAATTTATTTTGAGGATCGTCTTTGAAGTGATACCAGATATAAATTCAAAATAAATAGTCCAATTCAGATATGTTGAACTTTCTTAAATATCATATATTTAAAAAAATATATTTGGTAGCTATATCAAAAATAATTTCCAAGAATATTTTTTGTAAAATGTTTGATATCATTATGGGATATCCTATATTTTACTAAAAAAGAATTCATCGTATTTCTGGAAGATATTTAGTTTTAATTAAATGCTTAAATATCAAGGTTTCCATTAATAAAAAAGTTAAATTTTTTTTTATAAAATGCAAAGAATTTTTTTAAATTTTCTTTAAAGTTAAAAAAAAAATTGTAAATAAAATCTTTTTTCATCGCCCGTGACCATTCTTTTTTTTTTTTAAATGTTCGTTTTTTTGTTTAAAAGAATCGCAAATAAAATGGATTTATATAAAAACTTGTTTTCAAATTAAATAAAAAAAAAAAAGCATATATTAGAAAGAAAGAAATGAAAGAAACATAGAGAAAAAAAAAATAATTTAAAAATAAAGAAAAATAATTTAATTTTATGAAAAGGGGGAAAAAGAAAAAAAAAATTAAAAATTTTTGAATAAGAAAAAAAAAGAAATTTATTCGAAATCATTAGAAAAAAAAAAAAGATGAAAAATAATTTAAAATTATGAAAAAATGAAAAATAAAGAGAGAAAAAAAAAAAGAAAGAAAAATGAAAAGAAAGAAAAAAATAATTTAATATTATGAAAAGGGGGGGAAAAAAGAAAAGAAAGAAAATTAGAAAAAAAAAAAGAAAAGAAAAAAAGAAAAAAAAAAAGAAGAAAAAAAAGAATTTAATATTATAAAAGGGAGGATAAAAGAGAAAAATTCCCATTTTAAGAAAAAAGAAAGAAAGAAAGAAAAAAAAAGAAAGAAAGAAAAGTTCTTTTAAAAATTAAACAAAAGGCATTTAAAAATAACAAACTCAAAGTTTTTTTCCAAAGAGACAAGAAAAGTACAAAAAAAAAAAAGAAAGAAAGAAAAAAAAAGAAAAAAAAGAAAGAAAAAAAAGAAAGAAAGAGACAAGCATTTAATTCTAAATGAAAGAAAGAAAGGAAGAAAGAAAGAAAGAAAAAAGAAAAAAAAAAAAAAAAAACAAACTTAAAAAAGAAAGAGAACAAGCATGTAAAAAATTTAAAAAAAAAAGAAAAAGAAAGAAAAAAATATAAGACATTCATTAATAAAAAAGAAAGAAAAACAAAAACAAGATAGAGACAAACTTATAGTAACATTTTTTCTTATCTTTTTTAGAAATAAGAAAAAAGAAGAAAGAAAGAAAGAAAGAAAAACAAAGAAAGAAATTCAGGCAATAAAGAAATAAAGAAAAAAGAAAACGAGAGAAAGTAAAACACTGACAGAGACAAACTCATGTTTCATCCTTTTCGTTTTAATTAATGTTCAAAAAAGAAAAAGAAAGAGATAATTTTTTAAAAGAAAAAAGTCTTACATTAATAAAGAAAATTTCATATGAAAGAAAAAAGAATAGAAAGAAAAGAAAAAAAAGAAAAAAGAAAAAAAAAAGAGAAATTAAATATCCAGAAAGAAGCAACATCTAAAACATGTTAAAAAAAAAAAAAAAATACTAATGTTATTTGGAAAAAATAGAGATAAACTTCCGTAAGAAAGAGGCAAACTCATTTAAGAAAAAAAAAAGAAAAAGAAAGAAAGAGACACATTCATGCAAGAAAGAAAAAAAAAGGAGAGATAAGAAAACAAAGACAGAGATAAACTCATGTAAGAAAGGAAGAAAGAAACAATCAAAGTAATGTTAAAAGGAAGAAAAAAAAAGTTTTTATTCATATAAGAAAAAAAAAAAAAACGAAAACAAAAAAAAATTTTCTTTTTTGTAAAAAAGAGACAAAATCACGCGATGAAAGAAAGAAGAAAGAAAGAAAATAAATTGAAAAAAAAAAAAAAAAGAAAACAAAATAAAGAAAAATTAATGTAAAAGAAAGAAAGATAAGAAAAATAAACTAAAGGAAAAAAAAAGAAAATGAAAAAATTCATTTTAAAATAAATAAATAAATAAAGAAATTTTTTTTTGGTATTTTTTTAAAAATAAAAAGGAAAACAAAGAAAGAAACAAATTCGATGATTTTTAAGAAAAAATAAATAAAAAATTCTTATAAAGAATGGAATAAAAGAAAGAAAATTTTTCACGTAAGAAAGAAAAAAAAAAAGAAAGAAAAATGGCAAAAAAAGGAAAGAAAGAAAGAAAAAAAATTCATGTAAAAAGAAAAAAAAAAAAAAAAAAAGAAAGAAATAAAAAAAAAAAGAAAGAAAGAAACAACGAAAATCATTTGAAAAATTTGAAAGAAAAAAAGAAAAAAAAAAAGAAAAATAAAGAAAGGAAAAATAAAAAAATAAAAAAAATTCATATAGAAAGAAAGAAAAAAAAAATTTTTGAAAAAAAAAAAAAAAAAAAGAAAAGGGTAAAAAAAAAAAAATTTTTGAAAAAAAGAAAAAAATTTGAAGAAAGGAAAAAAAAAAAAAAAAAGAAATTCATGTAGAAAGAAAAAAAAAAAGAAAGAAAGAAAATAAAATTTTAAGAAAAAAAAAACGTCAAAACAAATAAATTCAAGAAACAAATGAAATGGCAAGAAAAGTATGTGAAAGGGGAAAAAAAAAATAAAGGTTTCCAAAAAAGGTGGAAATTGAAAAAAAAACTATCAAAAATATTCCAAAAATATTAAAAAGAAAGAAAACTGTTTTCAAAAAAGAAATATATATATATATATATATATATATATATATATATTTAAATATATATATATATATATATATATATATTTTTATATCTTAAAGAGAAAGAAAGAAAATTTATTGAAGGGGAAAGAAAGAAAAGTGAATGTTATTTAAAGAATAGGAAATCACAAAAATTTTTCAAAAATATATAATCGGTCAGGCAAGAAAGAAATATTTAAATAAGATTATTGAAAAATCTCGACCCCAAATTTTATTTTTCATTGCATTAATGTTTCCGCCATTACTGTTTGGCCGGCGGCAGTCTTTTTACTGGTTGAAAATTTTTATTCCATAATCATTTTTTCCCTTCTTTAGAGGGGGTCTAATTTAATCTCTGGACAGTGTCCGCTTTCTTCGCAAACGAATTCTAAAAAAATTTAACAAACCCGATCCTGGAGTTTCAGAAAGAAACACGTTAAAGTTGATAAAATACGTAAAAAAGTCTTCCTTGACCTTCATTGGTCAGTCAGGCCAAACACGTTATCAACGCCCGACCGGGTAAATGGTTGGCTTCTGGCATTGCTTGTGGATAAACGGGGGTCATTTATCCGTAGAGGATGGTAGCTTTACATGTAGGAGGTGCCACATCGATATTTTAATTTATCCGATTGCTTTTTTGTTGTTGTTGTTTTGTGTGGGGGGGTAACTTGTTTTGTATCTAGGTTTTCTTTTTCGATTAAAATCTAAATTTTATTTTTTATAATTTTTTTTTATACAAAGAAATTTTTCTCTGTTTATAAAAGCGAACTAAACAATTGCACAATTTTCACTAGAACAAAATTCCTTTTTCAGTCATATATAATGCTGTAATCGTTTTTTTTTTAACTTTCTACATTATACTTATCAGAGGACTGTCTGCCTCATTCTCATCTCCGCGAAGGGTACATCTACTCTGCCCATTATTATTATCATTATTATTATTATTGAAGAAGAAAAAGAAGAAGAAGAAGAAGAAGAAATATCAAAGGTGAAGAAAGGAATTATCAACATGATTATAGGAGTAAATGGTATAAGAGGAGATTTTTCTGAAGAGGAAATGAGGATTATACAAGAGAAAGGATTATTTTGATTTTTTTTTGGACGAGAAAAATTTATATTGGAGGGGTAATATTGAAAGGAAATACAAGGAGGAATTGATTCTGTTCCAATTGGAGGAAGGAGATGGCGGAGGTGGATTCAGGAGGAGTATAAGAAGAAAGAAGAAAATGGAGGAGGAGAAATGAGGAGAAGAAAATTCATTTAAATTGTTCCCGGAAATGAATAGAAGAAGATATTTATGAATGAATCTATAAGATTATAATAGAAGAAGAAGAAGAAGAAATTTCTAGGTTCTAAACTTAATCCAAGATCATCAAAACAAGGGAATTGGGAGGTACAACGGTCTGAAAAAATTTAGAAGAAAAAGATTAAAAGAAGATTATTTAAGAAGAAGAAGAAGAAGAGGAGGAAAGTATGAATTTGATAAGAAGAAATTTTTTTACTTTAGAAGAAACCTGAAGAAGATATAAGAATGTCTGAAGAAGAAATTTATTTTTGTTTAAATTATTTAATGAAAATGATTTGGTCTGTTTGTGATTTTATTAAAAATCCTTAAGGACCCATGACATATTTGTTTCCGAACACAATCTCAGATGATTACCAGAAATTATGTGACAATAACATTACTCGCAATATCGACGCAATTCCCAGCAACTAATGCAGTTCCGGAGTCGGAGGTTGATAGGAATAGGACGTTAATCTTCACTTTCCATAGTTTACAATTAGCCTTTACACTTTATTAGTACTCAGTACTAAATTTTAGCAAGAATTAGTTTGGTTGATTGATTGGTTGGTTGATTTTATTTAGCGACATATCAACACATCTGTGGGTTATTTAATGCCGAAATCTAAAAATTTGAAGACAATTTTATGGCTTCAACTAAATATATTTTCAACGCAGTTGTATGCCTTCAACTAGAGATAAAATGTATTTCTAGAAATTTTGCAATACATATGTTTTGTTGGTTGGATAATTTTGTTTAGCGACATATTAACACATCTATGGGTTATTTAATGCCGAAATCTAATTATTTTGGACACAATTTTATGGCTTCAACTAAATATATTTTCAATGCAGTTATATGCTTTCAACTAGAGATAAAATGTATTTCTAGAAATTTTGGTATGCATATGTATTGTTGGTTGGATGATTTAGTTTAGCGGCATATCAGCACATCTATGGGTTATTTAATGCCGAAATCTAATTATTTTGAACACGATTTTTGTAAGCACATGCTAGGCCACAAAAATCTCCTCAGAGCTTCCCAAAATAAAATAAATAGAATATGAATTTGCCAGAGAAAAGCAATGATATTTTTAAATTAAATTGCAACTATTTGAGCTCTGGTAAAATTATGATATGATAACAGCAAAATTTTAATATGAGCACTGGTAAAAATGTTTGCTCTCTTAGACATTATAAAACTTATAATACCCATCTTTGTTCATTTTATAATGTCCTCAAAAAAAGTGGTTAAAGGCGTTGGTTATATCCAGTGACAGAACCCAAAATAGTGTGAGTTCAATTCTTTGAAAAAGGTTTTTTCAAAAATTTTCAGAGGGAAATTAACAGGAGATAAAATAACAACATCCATCAAACATGGCACGTGGAACTAGAACAGTCTACCCCGGTGAGCGAAATAAAGGGTTCAGTTCGACATTCCAACCACCTGAAGAAAGCCGTCGCGTACAACGACCAAAACGTTGTGATAAATATGGTGACAAAGATGAGGACAATAGTCCGAATAATTTAAATAATGTACAATTTTATGGCTTCAACTAAATATATTTTCAAAGAAGTTGTATTACTTTAACTACAGATAAAATGTATTCTTGGTCATTTTGTTTTTTATATGTATTTGTTAATAATTTTACTCTAAAAATAGATTTTTATATTTTCATATTATTTTGTTTAGTTTGGGAGTTCACTATTTGCCCATAGCTGGGACCCTAACAGGTGCTACCACCCAGGGTAATGATGAACCCGAGAAGAACAGCAATTAAATGGTGGTGCAAGGACCAGGAAAAACATTTTTAGAAAAAAAAAGGAGTTGTCATATAAAAAGAAAATGAGTAAATAAAAAATTCTAAAGTTCGATTTTCTTTTACCTCTGGATTTATTTCTGTATATGTTTTTTAAACAGGTTTATAAATAGTAAATTGGCAGGCTACTGACTGCAGTTCTTATTGAGTTGTTTTAGTTTTCAACGATCACTTGTTGTCACTTTCGTAATGCTCGTTGTAGTAGAGACTTTGTAATCGCAGATACAACTATAGTAACGTCGTTGAACAATACTGATGTCAGGCGCCTTTGAATATCACTCACACTAATAGTACTTGCTCGATAACACTCGCTCGAAAAAATAACCACCGTATTGAACCGAATAGAGAAATAGTATAGAGAATAAAGTAGAGAATAGCGCTCCGTATAGTAATAGATGATAGATTAGAAATTCAGATCCTTTAGACTTCACGGGACTTCCTATACATGCGTTTTCACTATGGTCACGTGATCCATTTAATTCAATAATGGGATCGCCCGTGTTAGCCTACTAGCGATCTATGTTCAAACACAAGTGTTGGCAGCGACACTTTATACCTATATAAAAAGTTGATTATTGAGTGGAACTATCCAGTCGAATTAGTGTGAATTATTGTGCGTCGATGATTTGGGTTTTGATTAAGGATTTACTGGACGTTAAACTGAGCCGTAATACTAACAAAGTATTCACTGAAATGGTTAATTCTCTTTAGTTGACTTTTACTTCTTTGTTCTTGTTAAGTATTTATTTACGATTGTAATTAAATACTGTTTTATTTTAACATTGATATCTTGAGTTATACTTAATTATTAACGGCCACCGTACAGTTTCTTTTTTTATGTATTGCTGTAGCAATATTACTATAATATGCATTGTTCGTGATTTTACTATAAAAATGGATTTTTATACGTTCATGGTGTTTTGCTTTTGTTTAAGGGCTCAGTATTTGCCCATAGCTAGGACCCTAATCAGTACTACCACCCTGGTCAGGGTGGACCTGGGAACAGTAGCAATTAAGAGGTAGTGGAAGAATCAGGAAAATTTTGTTAGACAAAAAGAAAAGATTACTGCACTATTATGTAATATCAGTCCTCCCTATATCACAGCGAATACTGGACTCCTCTCAGATGAAGAATGGGTTGAAGCAACTGAAAGTGGGAGCTACAGAAAGATACATTATTTAGATTATTCGGACTAATGTCTTCATCTTTGTCGCCATATTTATCACAACGTTTCGGCCGTTGTACGCTCCAGCCTTCTTCAGGTGGTTAAGGCAGTGGAGAACTTTCAAAGGGAAATTATCAGGAGATAACTGATAACTGACATCCATCAAAAACATGGCACGTGGAACTAGAACAGTCTACCCCAGTGAGCAAAATAAAGGGTTCAGTTCGAAATTCCAACCACCTGAAGAAGGCCGGAGGAGTACAACGGCCGAAACGTTGTGATAAATATGGCGACAAAGATGAGGACATTAGTCCGAATAATGTAAATAATGTACATAATACCTCATCTCAGAAATATAGAGTGACTCTAAAAGAAGATGCTGAGAATTCTATGGGCTGAACATGCGAGTAACGAAAATGAGAAAAGAAAGGACATTTTCCTATCCCTGGCGCAAGAGGGGTTCGTCGCCCAACAATAACTTACATTGAGCATCTATGTTAATGGCACAGCATGCTAACCTAAGGAAATCCCGACCTTGATGCAGGTCGTAATGGTTGGCGTGATAGACATGTATATCCGAGCTAGCTCGAACGAATAAAATAATACTTAGAATCTGAAAGGACAGATGAAATATCTAGGGCACATAATGAGGAAAATAGGCTTGGAAAATTTGACGCTCACAGGTCATGTGGACGGAGAGAAACCTAACAAATTTACGGAGTTTGAGGGGGATTAGGAGAGATAGCAAAAAGACCAACCTTGCTAAGTGCTTCATACAAAAAGGAAGTTATGGAGAGCCTTGATTATCCACGTACTGATTGGACACGACACATAGATTTCTCATTTATTTTTATGATCTATTTCCGGCACCAACGTCTAGGCTATCGTCCTGAAGAAGTCCAACCGCTACGAGTAGAATGTTTGCTCATAGGAACCGTGGTCGCAAAGTGCGGCGTAAGACGGAGCGTTCTGAGTCGTACGCATTGCTGCACTGAACTATGGTATTACTATGTTATCCATATCTCTCATGGGATTAAACCTGTTCTTCACAGAAAATTTTGTTTCAGGATTATTTCACAGTATTATTATCAAATAAAAAGCAGCAAAGATAGGGATAAGCAAAGAATCACCCGCTGTAACCAGAATTTACGAATAAATAACGATGACACAATCTCCAATGGGCAACGTAAGGTCAGTTCTTCTTTAAAGCGTTTGACAGGTTACAAATCGGAACTTTTTGGCAAAATACATCCATCATAATGCTGGTAGGCGGATAAAAAGTTTTGTTTGGTATGAGCATTGCGACAAGCATTCTGTGTTATGTATGGTTCTACAGTAGGATATTGAGGATACCATGGACCGAACATATGAGCAAGTTCTGGAGAGAATGGAAACAAAAAGGAAATTTATATTTGACATTAATAAGAGACAGATGTAATTCCTTGGGAACATAATGAGGAAAGAGGACTTGGAAATTATTATACACAGAGGACAATTTTTTCGTTTTTTTAATACTAACTACAACAATTTATATATATATATATATATATATATATATATATATATATATATATATAGTATATATATTTAATACTTAGTACAACAATTTATATATATATTTAATAAAAAAAGACCACTTTAAGGTTCCATGTAATAAATTCCTAAAAGGGGCTGTGGTGAAATAATTTATTACATAGAACCTTAAAGTGGTCTGTTTTTATTTAAATTATTTGCTCTGGGTTTACATTGAGCTCTCTGGATTTTATCCTCCTTGGGTTTGCCCATACGGATTACCTAGTTTTTCATAAACTATATATATATATATATATATATATATATATATATATATACACATTTGAACATGAACACAATATGTTGACCGTGTTTTGAAAAATGTAAACATTTTATAAAACATACGTACAACAAACTATTTCTTATTTAACAGTTAAAATAGTTAATCCTTCAAAATGGCTAAATGTATAGCCGAAAGCGCTCGGATAAAAGAACATTCATTCAGCTTTTTTATAATTTATCATCGGAAAAAAAAAAAAAATACTTGATCGCATATGAAATTGCATATAATCTAAATAAAATTAGACCTTGTCATTTTATTTCATATATTTATGTCTTGTACATTCCTCCCACACTGCAGTCAGTTGCATATATACACATATATATATATATATTTTTCATAATTGTGTTTTTGAGATTTAAAAAAATCCAAAGTTTTTTAGAGGTCGGAAAGTTGAAATTGAATTCCGAAGACGTATTGGAATACTTGTTGATGCTTTTAAAAAGCTAAAAAAAGTATATTTTGAAACAGAAAAATTCTGTTAAAAAAATTTAAAAAAAAAATAAAGTAAAGCATTACGTAATATTTTTATTCCCCTCCATTATGGAAGTGAATTCTGGACAATATATCACCGATGAAGAAGAGACTTGAAGCAAGAGAAACATTAAAATTTTTAAGAACTGTTACATAATAAAAATCCTGATATATATAAAATGAATGCTGGACAATTTTAAAGATGAAGAAATAAATAAAGCAAGAGAAATAAAAAAGGCTACTGAACTGTTATATAAAATCGGTCCTCCTATATGGCAGTGAATAAAAACAATTTCTTCACAGATGAAGAGATATTGAATTTTAGAAAATGTATGTACGATGCCATAGGACAACATGGACCAATCTTCGCACCACTCATGGTAGACTCTTGCAATGAGAAATGGTAATGAAGAGTCAGGTGTGTTAAATGAGTGGAAGAGGGGGTGGCTGGAAGCGGGAATTATGAGAATAACGAGAATAATCCTTCATTTGAAAAGGTCAAGATTAAAGTATTCGGTAAAACAGTCATATAGGAGTCTGATCCACAAAGTTTATGTCCTTAGGTAAACGCTGTCACTTTTGAACAACATACTTACATTTGAAACACGAAGTAAACAAAACTGAGTAGTATAGCGTGTCCGAACAATAAAGGTCTGAACTATAAACTAAAGAACAGGAGATTTTCTGTATATTTAAATAACTAATATAAAGAGTCGACACACTCGTAACCTCGTATATGGAAAAATTAAAATTTTAAAACATAAGTCAGCCAACTAAAACAAAACAGTGTGAACGATTTCAAATTGTATCAAGCCTGGGAACTGAAGACTGAGTAACGCTAGTCCAGATATCGCAACAATACCCTATTTTTACACTGATTTGACTCTGGTAAACTTACAAAATTGCAGGTGTCAAATATATTCTGGGGGTGATAATGTGGGTCGATTACTTTTTCAGATTCCGTATATATTGCGAGTTTTTATGATCAGTTTTATTTTTACGCAAAAAAAAATTAGAGCTCGCACTATACACAGGTAACTTTTTGAAGAGGTTAAAAATATTTTCAGTAACCGGTTGCACTATACACAGGTAATTTGTTTCTGAAGGGGTTAAAATTCGTGCAAAAAATTTCAAGTATCGAACTATACGCGAAGTCGTCTTAGACACGAGAATTTTTTGCCTAAGGCACCCTTTTTACCATAAGTCACAATCCCATTCCACCCCTATCTAAGATTGTCACACTCAAAAGTTGATTTCCAAATAATATACAAATATTATTTAAAATCTTTGTTATTTTCCTCATTAGTATATAGATAAATTTATTTGTAGAGAGGGGTTTTACAAATTTAGTATTAAGAGATCATGTTGATAGATATTTTAAACTTGAATCCATGTACTGTACTTTGTTTTAATTTATAACAAATTATTAAATTAGTAAACCGAAGAATACTTCAATAAATAAAATATTAAATTTGGTTTTTCAAATAATGACGTAAGAATGTCGTTTTTTCCGTTAAATAAATACGTCAAAAAAACAATTTTATTCAACATTATTTTTGCACCAACCTAATATATTTAATGGAACTCAATAAACTGTAATTCAATAAACAAAATTCAATTAAAATGTAATTCAGTAAACAAAGAATAAATAAAAAAAAAAAGAAAAAAAAAGATTTTCCCTCCCACTAAATCCATGAAATTCCCCCTCTGGGGATAATCCCTCTCTGTATGAAAAACTCTGGAATAGACAGAACAGTTCTGTTGATGGCTGGGCTAGCGCGAAATCACAAGTCATCGTGACCGAGGATTTATGTGTGTTGGCCTTTTTCAAACTGTTGATCACACAAGATACTGAGCTCTATCGCAGGAACTGTAACTAGGTTGGCTTTGCCGGTGTTGAAAAATGTGCCTGAACAGACGTCTTTGCAAATGGGACTGGTCTGTCGCCCTCGAAGACAGGTATACACAGAAACCAATGGCCAGGCATTATTTTGGTTTTGTTTTGCAACTGTGCTGTTAAAGTTAGGATAATGGATCGATCCGATACAAGCCCCCAAACATCTTCGTCGTGGGAAGTCCGCCCATGAACGGCGGAATCATTTCCACAGATGTTTACTGAGAATGTTCAGAGACACATCGTTAATGAGGAAAAGTTGTAGGACTGATGAGAGAGACTTGACTTGTTCGTTTAATGGCATATCAACATCATTATGGGACATTTAATGTCGAAATTTAATTTTCTTGGGAGCTTTGAAGTAATAAATATATGTTAGATGTTATTCTGCTTTCACAGTTGAATACATGGTAGATGATACTCAGCTTTTGTGCATAGAAATGTTTCTAGGGACATACTTACTAGAAGGATTATAGAGGTGTTTTTTTTATTGCAGTTTTTTCGAAGTTATATTTTGGAATACAGTTTGATTTCTTTAAAAAATTGTAGGATATTAGATGGATTAATATCATGAAAGTGTTCATTCTTTTACAGTATTCTCGACATTTCGGTTGTTGTATGCTTCGGTCTTTCTCAGGATTTAAATATATTTCTGAGATTTTTGAGAAATTAATGATGTTAACACTATAATACTGTTTGGACTGTTGTCCTCATCTTTGTTGCCATATTCACGACGTTTCGGCTTGTTATAATCCAGGCTGCCAGCCTTCAGTTATCTGATATAGTAATGCCTGACGAGGCATAAGTTTAAAAGAGCTATCTCTTTTTGAAATGAATCCAGTTTCGCCATTCCAATCATTTTGACGAAGGTCAAGTTATAACGACCAAAACGTCGTGAATTAAACGAAAAAAATTTTAGTAATTCCAATTAAATACCGAATTTTCAAATATATAAATAAAAAGCCCGGAATAAACAGCAAATTTCGAAATATCGCAAAAAAATGAGGGACAATTAATAATGATTTTTTGGTGCTCCCTACAATATTCATCTCAAAATATAGACAGATCCTTAAGAAGCCTGAAGCATACAACGGCAAAATTTCGAGAATATGGCAACAAAGATGAGGACAACAGTCCAAACAATGTAAATGGTGTAAATAATTACAATACCTCATCTCAGAAATATAGACAGATCCTGAGAAAGGCCGAAGCATACAACAGCCGAAATGTCGAGAATATGGCAACAAAGATGAGGACAACAGTCCAAACAATGTAAATAGTGTAAATAATTACAATACCTCATCTCAGAAATATAGACAGATATTGAGTTCTGTGTTGGTTATTTTTTAAAATAAAATTATTACTGGTATTTTTACTTTAAAATGTATTTTTATAATTTCATAGTGTTTTGTTTTTGTTTAGGGATTCACTATTTTCCCATAGCTGGGACCCTAACAGATGCTACCACCCCGATTCAGGGTGGACCTGAGAAGCACAAGATTTTTTTAGATTAATAATATTTTTCCAGATGTAATTTTTGACTGACTGATTCGTTTTTTGCGGCTTATCAGGTAGGTTATTTAAAGCCAGCAAATATTTTTAGATTTTATTATTTTGTCTTTTTTTTTTTTTAGATACGGAGGTGTAATGGATATCGGCTCGGATTGAGGCATCGGAGAGCCGAGTTCGAATTCCAGTTGAATTCATTACATTCACTTAAATGCTAATAACATTGGGGAAAATATGAATACTCTTCTCCCCCCCCATCTATGAATAAATAGCAGGACAGATTGGGTTCTATAGACTTGGATGGCAACTGGTCTACCGCTGAAAGAAATGGCAACCTACTGCGGAAAAAAATCTGCCTCGACATTCATGTATCGAAAAATAAATGATCGCCTAAGAGTGTATCACGCATGTGTGTGTGTGTATGTGTGTGTGTGATGCGGCATTCACCCTGGGAGGATTGAGCCGGCTTCTTCCTGTTGTGAGAAGAAGATTCTTGGGATAAATTACAGAAGTAGGGTACCCAGGCCTACTCGGATAACGTTCTTGCTTGCCGCGGGGTTCCCACAGACGCAGAGACAGGAACGACCAGAAGCCGCCGGTTGCCGATGCAGACGCTCCTTGGATTTTCACCAGAGCCCTTGTTAGCCGGCGTGTGTGTCAGACCTGTCCGCCTTGGGTGGCCCTACCAGGAACGAAGTTCCGGACGGCATAAAATGACACTACGGTTTTACCCCCCCCACCGACTGTGAGGTAAGGGTTGACTTTTGGGGCTTACAGTACCAGGTGTTCCCAAGCGGTCCCCCACCTAAGTACTTTCTGGCTCTACGAATCATGGCATATAACTGATATGAATCGGAGAAAATTGTTCGAATTCCAGTCGAATCCATTGCATTCAAACAAATTGCTAATAACGTTAGGAAAGGTGTGAATCCTGTTCTTCTCCTTTCTGCTACGGGTATATAATAGGTAACAGGTGCAAAAAAAATCTACGTAATAATGTCGTTTTTTTAGACGTAATTTTAACGTCAAAAAAAACATTTATTACGTCATTATTTTTTTTGTAAATAGCAGGACAGATCGGGTTTTGTAGTCTTGGACTTGGCCTATCGTCTACTGCGGGAAAATAATCTTCCCCGTCAGTCATGTATCGAAAGATTCATGATCGCCTTAGAGTGTATCACGCATGGCACATAACTTATAGGAATCGGAGAGCCGAGTTCAAATTCCAGTAAAATCCATTACCTTCACTTACGTGCTAATAACCTTGGGAAAGGTGTGAATCCTCTTCTTCCCCGAGTAGAAAAATCTCCTCCAATTTTGCCATATATGTACAGCATCGCCCTTTCTGGATGAAGTCTTTTCTATTGCTTTGCTTGACTTGTGGTGTCTTGCATTCTACATTCGACCTACCCCGGGAAAAAAATTGCCTCGTCAGTCATGTATCGCCTAAGCGTGTATCACACATGGCATATAACTGATTGACGAGATCTCTCTCTATAAAAGGCAGGATGTATGCGTGTGTAACGAATGCATGGCCCTAATTTTCGACGGATTTGCACCAAAATTTACATGCACATGCTCCATGTTAGCTGAAAGGCCAAGATCGACTTTGCATTTCCCAACTCCCATCGATAGTGGAAATAATCGATTTTTTCATGCTTCTACGGCAGTTTTCATGTAATTTGCGGCCATTTTCTACAGGCCAGAGTGAGAGCCTATAGCTGGCTGCCACGAATAGGCAGGAAGTTTCTATTGGCCAGCGTGAGAGCCAACAGCTGACTGACACGAAGGTTAACTAGCATGTTAGCATGCTAAAAACATCGATAGCTGCATTCGTCACAAGTGGGAAAAATTTAAATCTGCATGGCACTTTACTCCAATTGGCTCATTCGCTTGCAACGTTGATTCTGATTCCGCAGAACTGGGTTGGGTGTGAAAAAGTATTTGTTGTTAACATTCATTTCCATTCAGTTTTTCCAGTTACGAGTCCTTTTTTAAAGCTGATCGTTTTGTGTTCATTTTGTTTAGTTCTTTTTTCGTAACATATTTAATGTTTAGTATAGAGCTTAGAAAAAATTCGCAGTGTGAGATAGGCAAGAAGTAAGGCATGTAGCAACATCAGCACGAAAAAGGACACTCCTTTAAAAAACAAGGAAGGGCCAAAATATTTTAAGTCAAGTGATAGCGATTGCTGTTTGAGTCGTACGATTTTTTAATCAAGCACGGGCAACGCCAAATTCCATGCTGCTAGTCGTTAATAAAAATCTCTTTAAATACAGTAGGGCCGAGGAATGGGGCCTTGAGGGATGCTTGCATTGATCACATTTTTCCAGAAGACCGACTGTTCAAAGAAACCTTCATAGACCTATCTGAGAGAAAGGACTTGCTGATTGTTTAAACTTTTCCAGAGATACCGCAGCTGGGGTTGGGGGAGCTATGCAGCAGCCGCCTGCACGACGGCTAGTCAAAAGCCTTCGAGATATTCAAAGCACTTGCTCTGGTAACAAAGCTAACATCAACCGCCTCGCTGATTCTCTGAGAGATGATATTTCAAATATGTGCAGTTGACTGAAAGAAGGGAAATCCATACTGCTTGCCACTCAGTGGTGTATTTCTCGTAAAATGAAGCAGTATCCATCGTCTATACACAGGTAAAGCCACATCGACGATTTCCCACGCACGCTTCCTTTGTGAGTGATTATTGTATCCAGTAGTTCGATCTCTTACTCGGTATGGATGTGAATGTCATAAAGCTGTCGATTACCGTAATTCCCCACTGTATAATACGCCTTCATCCATAATACGCACACCTAAAATTGTGCTGAAAGTGTGAGAAAATGCTTCTACTCACGCATAATACGCACCCCTTGTTTGGTAATCAAAGCCTATAAATTGTACCTCTCCAATTTCATTATAGCCAGCCTTTCCTACTCTTATTAAAAAAATGGTTTTAAACATAATAATATTATTCTAATTTAGTTTTATGACATTTCCTATTTTATTTTACGGTCATTTTTTAAAGATATTTTTATCTGTGCATAATACGCACCCTTGATTTTGCTGTTATTTTTTTTTAGAAAAAAATGGTTTTAAACAGAATAATATTCTAATTTCGTTTTATATTTCCTATTTTATTTTACGGTCATTTTTTTAAAGATTTTTTTTTAGTTGTGCATAATACGCACCTCTGATTTTGCTATTATTGTTTTTAGACAAAAATGGTTTTAAACAGAATAATATTATTCTAATTTCGTTTTATACTTCCTATTTTATTTTACGGTCATTTTTTAAAGATCTTTTTTTTAGTTGTGCATAATACGCACTTCTGATTTTGCTATTTATTTTTTTTTAGAAAAAAGCGTAATATACATGGGGAATTATGGTAATATAAATTAGGCTATAAGAGAATTAAATATGAACAAGCTGCTTTAGAGGTAGATGCCTCAAAAAAAAAAATTAAATTTAAAGAACTCGAGTCATGTTCTTAAGCAGTCGCGTCAGATCTAGATAGTCCTATGGATGCCATGAATGTCTAAACTACCAGCTATTTATTGGACTGGCGAGTCTAATCCGTTCAGAAATGTGAAAACTACTATTTCTACACTAACGGGCAAGCGCAGCCCGTTCAGAAATGTCAAAGCAACCAGTTAGATACGGAAAAGCAAGCGCAACATGTTCAGAAAAGTCTAAACTACCAGTTCTACATTAAAAAGCAAGCCCGTTGGAAAATACCTAAATGATCAGCTAGACACTAGAATGCAAAAGCGGCAGGTTCACTAAATACTTAACCTTTTCAAGTCTTAGGTTAACCATAATCTTTCCCATATAGCCATCTTTTTAAAAATGCATTTCACCCCAAGCACGGTAAATAAAACGGCTAAAAGACAAAGCAAATAATGAGACCTAGCGAATATGGGAAAAATTACAATTATGGAGAGACGACAATAAATGAACAAGGACACATGGCACAGTGGATAAAGGCGTGAGTTAGGACCAGTGAGAGGACCCAAAGAGTTTGAGTTCAGTACCCTTCCCTTCCAATCTACCTGTCCGGAGATATTAAGAGTTCATTTAACAGTACAGCATTCAACAGGGTACCTGAAATATGCATGTCATATCTCATCACTTGTCTTTGTAATATATATTTTTAAATCCTAACGAGATTTTATGGACACCTCAACTTTATGGAGATCAACGTGTTTTAGTGGACTCAGCAGTTTTCAATCGGCTTGTCTGAATCGTCTTCAAGAAGTGAGAGCAAGATATAAAAGGTCAGCCATTCTAACAGTGATTTCATCCCACAATCCTTACTCTTTCTCCATATGCGGCCTACTTTGTAAATCATTATTGCCACTTAAGATTATCGAACAAAATTTCATAATTGAATCAATTAAGTTGTCAGATCTCATAATATTCAAACCGACTGGCATCCATTATATATATATATATATATATATATATATATATATATATATATATATATATATATAAAGTATAAACCCTTTAAATAGACAGGAAAAATGCTCATCAGAGCAGTAGCTATTCAAATATTTAATAAAAAAAGACAGAGGGAAACATATCATATCTGTGAGAAATTGACTGATGTCTAGATGCAATAAAAAAACACATTAGAAATCTATTAGCTTGAAATTAAAACTAAAATATTTATTCGTAACTATATTTTGTACATAATTTTATACCTTCAGGGTAAATGTATGTTTTTAGATATGTACTTTGTAAATGATTAAATATATTGTTGATTTTTTTTGTTTTTTAACATGTATAGCTGACAGTTTCACTACAAAAATGTATTTTTATACATTTTTAGTGTTGTAATTATCATTTTGCTATAAATATGTATTGTTGGTAAATTTATTGTAAGAATGTATTGTTGATTTTTATTTGGAGGTTTACTACTTGTCCATAACTGGGACCCCAACAGGTGCTACCACCCCGGATCAGGGTGAACCTGGGAATAAGAGCAGTTAAGAGAAACATGCCTCCCACAAACTAAGTAATGAGAATGCTATGGACGGAATAGTGATTTTTCATACCACCCGTTCTCGTCCAATCAGCAAGGTTAAGCAACGTTGAGACTAGTCAGTACCTAGATGGGTGACCGACCTGCAATAGCAGGTGCCGCAATCCTGGATGTGCGGGTAGTGTAATGGATGACGGCTCGGAAGAAGAAATCTAAGAACCGAGTTCGAATTCCAGTCGGGCTTGTTATATTCGCAAACGTAAAAATACCCTTGGGAAAGATATGAATCCACCTTTTCTCCTCCCAGATAGGGATTAAATAGTAGGATTTGTATCGGAAAATAATTATAATCTCCAAAGAGTACATAAAATCCAAAAATGAGTCGGCTTTTAAATAACAATGAAAGTTTGATAAGCCGTAAAAAATCAAATCAAATGAAAAATGTTTTATAAAAACAGAACACTACAAGGAAACTGATAATAATGATCACAAATAATGCAATGAAGAAAGACAGCATAGAGAATTTAACATGCTGAATTCAAGGAGAGCAAAATAAAGAAGAATATCATATTTGACGAATTCGTGATTATGGAAGGTATAACAGGAAGAATGAATGAAAAAGTGAAATATATATTTTGAACAAGAAAAGACATATAGATAATGTTTGTGGTGTTCGCCCACACCCTGAAATGACAGAGGACATAAAAGAACGCGTTTACATACATTCAATATACGAGATATAGCTCTCAGATAATTATTAAGCTAATGCGAGATTTTACGTTACAGTACGAGATGGATGCAGAAAGGAAAAATTCATCGGCGCCATTTTCTTTTCACTCTTTTTTTTTTCATTTAAATATGTCGTCTTCATTATAGTAAGCGTTTTTTATTTGGACGTTCATTTTTTTTTTTCTGATCGTCTTTTGATATATTTTTCCCTTATTATGAATATGTCAGAAAAAAATTATTTTCTTTACTTCATCTTGTATTTAACTTCATTCCTCCAGGACTAAAATAACATGTTTCTGCCCGAGAAATCATTTCTTGGTGCTCATTAAAGGGTTTAGTCGGTTAGAATATACAAGAAACTCAATAAAAAGAAAACAAAACGTAAGAAGACTGAAAAAAAAATTAAAGCAAAAAAAATACACACACAAAGATACATACACACACACTTTATATATATATATATATATATATATATATATATATATGCTTTTCTTTTTCTGTCAAATTGGATACCCTGTCAGAAAGTGCATAATCACAAGCTGGATGGAAGACAGTGTTTGTATTTGGGGACATCAAATTTATATCTAAGACAATATATATATATATATATATATATATATATATATATATATATATATATATATATATAAAGTCTGAGATAGTGATTATATAATATATCTTTATCTATCTATCTATCTAATAGATTTTTAGAATAGATTTCATAGCGATATATATATATATATATATATATATATATATATATATATATATATATATTTTGGAATATTAAGGATAGATATATATATATATATATATATATATATATATATATATATATATATATATATATATTTATATAACAAGAGAGAGAGTGAAAGAAAGATAGGTATAGATAGATAGATAGATAGATAGATAGATAGATAGATAGATGGTGCGATGGGTAAACTATCGCCATTTTTATTTTTAATTTCGCGCATGACTTTTGTTTCTTTTTTTTATTTTGTCGACTGCACAATATAGTAAGGCCAGTTGAGTACTGTCTGTTAGCAAAAAAGAGCACCATGACGCAATTCATTCCTCCAGAAATCTGGGAACGGCATGCTGGAATGCTTGGCATTCGCGCCGGAAACTCCAATACGAACATTTCAGAATATTTGGCTGTCAATCTGAGGGCAGTGCAGAGTTGGATAAGTCTAATGATAACTACCAAAGTGTGGCAGCTCGGAAAACACTCTATGATCGTTCTGATAAGAAAAGAATTTCCGAATTTGTTGGCGAGGCTCTCAGACTCAACACGGAGACATACATCAAGTCCCTTGTGGATTTACCCTGTGTCAAGAGGGTGGCAACAGGACTCTGCCCTATTCTACACAAGCATGAGAACCTATTCCTGGCTATCATAAATTTTGCGACTACAACAACCCTTTCAATATGGCCACATAACTCTCCAGACTACAAACTTAGAGAGTGTTATGTGTGAGGCGCAGTTAAGCGAGTGACCAAAAAATTTCTTGTAACATCAAGGATGAACTGAAGGCAAGGATTATGGCAGCATTCACCAACTTGAAAAAGGAGACCGTCCAGAAGATTGGCGGGAGGATCCAAAAGTCGTCGGAATAAATTTACTCTTTATTATTTCAAGATATTTTTGTGTAACTTTGGTAAATATACCTGTTAAAATGAGATGTCAGTGTTATTTTCATTTTTACGTAATTTAGACAACAGTTTATACATCACACCCTGTACGCACACACACACACACACACACATATATGAAGAAAAATATACGGAAAAAACAAACAAAAATCCTTATATACAATTATGCGGTTTTAATGTTAATAAGTCAACGTCGGAAGTTTCGGTCTAATAAACCATCTTCAGGACATATTAAAACAGCATAATTGTATATAAGGATTTTTGTTTGTTTTTTCCGTATATTTTTCTTCATACTGTCGGATCTATATCCATATATTTGCTTACACACATATAAATGTATATGTATTCCGATATATATATATATATATATATATATATATATATATATATATTCCGATGTGTGTGTGTGTGTGCAAATATATAGAAAAAAGGAAAACCGTTAGGTTAATAATCCGAAGTTCTTTAGTATTTTTGTTTTTATTTTTAAAAATTAGTGCTCGATAGACAAGTAGAGCCCATATTATAATTATTTAAAAAAAATATGATTCCATCGCTACATAGAAATTGCCATGTTTCAAAAACAGAAGCTAAAAACTTCCAATTCAATTATTGAAATGAAATTGAAGTACCTAGTTCTGTTTCGTCCTGTAACTAATTCTGAAATTTACGGAGTTTTATAAGCATATACATTCGTAATATTAATTTCTATGGATATGGAGGAATCCAATCATTTTAATATATATATACATATATATTTTCACACACACACACACACACACACATACATATATATATATATGTGTATTTTTGCAGTAAATTCTCTACGAATACTCAACAGAATGCAGAAAGCACTGGAGAGCCGTTTCTTCCTATTTTTGTGCCACATCAGCATTGCGCAACCACTACCGAGAATCGAACACAGACCGCTTTGATACAACGCATGCGTCGTACCAACGGGCCTCAGTGACGAAGAAGAAACTGAATAGACTCGATCTAGCGCCGTTACTCCCAACTCCCGTGGTGATACTCATCCAAGTCTTCATGACCCAACAGATTGTGTCTCAAAAGCCACCATTTTCCTTTCCCCCACCCATCGCAGAGTATTAGCTGGGTCAAGCAAGGATATACTATCATAGAATTTGGGGGATTTAGTCAAATCATTACAATATATATATATATATATATATATATATATATATATATATACATAGCATAATGAGAAGCCACGTATACTTTCTTAATATGTATATATAGAAAAAGTTTCAAATTAAAAATTATAATGTTTTATTTTATGAAAGTATTTATTTATTTATATATATATTTGATATTTCAAATTGTCCTCAATTTTTCATCAGAAATAACTGTTTGTTACAAATAAATTAAAATTACTGTTTGTTGGCAAGTAGCGTCCAAATACCTTTTAATTGCTGATGTGACCACTTCATAACAGAAATACATTTTTGAAATAAAAGTTACCAGTAATACAGTTAACAAAGAAATATTACCTGTAATACATTTTTGGAAAAAAAAATTCCAGCAGCACATTTTTGAAAAAAAAAATACCAGCAATACATTTGACCCTCAAAAAAAGAAAACAAAATAACTTTACAAAAATACGTCAATGAAACCTGATCTGCAAACTGATTTCTTTCAAAGAAATTTTAATTATACGAACCCATCCTAAAAAAAAAATGTTGGCATTGTAACCCATTGAAGTGTCGATATGCCGTAAAACAATATAAACCAAGCGAAACCAGACTCTCTACAAAAACTCACTTTGCAAAAATACGTTAATGAAACCTGATCTGCAAACTGATTTCGTTCAAAGAATACAAATTTTATTTATACGAACCAATCTTAAAAAATTGTTGGCATTTAGTAACCCATTGACATGTCGATATGCCGTAAAACAAAATAAACCAAGCGAAACCAGACTCTGTACAAAAACTCACTTTACAAAAATACGTCAATGAAACGTGATCTACAAACTGATTTTTTCAAAGAATATATATTCTATTGGTACGAACCCATCCTAAATAACTTGTCGGCATTAAATAACCCGTTGACATGTTGATATGCTGTAAAACAAAGTAAACCAAACTAAACTAAGGTGAGGCAATAAATACGCATTTACTTCGCACAAATTCTGATGTTAAGTGCAATCTGACTAGACCATCATTGGCGAAGGTTAGTACCAACAACTGAATGAAATGCAAGCAACACTAGTTAATCGACGGTATCCAATCCTGTCTCATGACAATGCTTAGTCAGATTATGCCAGGCTGATACTACAGAAGTTCAGCAGTTTGAGATACGAGACTTTGCCATATTCAGCATGTTCTCCGCTTCTCTCGCCCACTGCCCAGATCTCGTCTAGTTCGTATTTTTAGTGCTACCCAATTATTACTCGCCTTGTTTCCACTGAGTCGATAATACACACTACTAGAACCAGGGATTGCGCTCCCAATTAATTTGTTACTAAATTCCCAAACCAAAGATTTAATCCACAAGGTTATTGTCTCGTGGGTATTCGATGTAGGTTGCCCGGATCGGCACACACCTGATGAAGGCCGCAGGGCAGAACAGCCGAAATGGTGCGATAAGAACAAAGATGAGAACAGTAGCCCGCATGTAAATAGTTTAAATACTAATTTTCTTTCTTTTATATTTTTCTTCCCTTATACATTGATTTTCAAACCCCTCCTCCAATTTTTCTTTTTGTTTATTTCATTCATTTGTTTAATCTTTCTTTCACTTTCTCTTTCTCGACGTATATACGACTTTGTATTTTTTTTCTTTATTAATTTTTTTCTTTTTTTTGTATTTCCTTCTATTTTTTATTCGTTTTTTTTTGTCGCAGTTTCGAAATTCTTGTTTCGTTTATTATTAATTCATTCCCTCTATCTAGTTCTTCTTCTTCTCCTTCTTTTTTTCATTTTTTCTTTTCTTTTTCTAATTTTTCTTCTTCCTCAACATTTTCTTCTTCTTCTTCTTCTTCTTCTTCTTCTTCTTCTTATTATTATTATTATTATTATTATTATTATTATTATTCTCCCTCGTTTTCTTCTTCAAAATTTTCTTCTTTTAATTTATCCATTTCTTCTTTTATCTTCTTTTTCTATTACTTCATCTTTCCCATCTCTTTTTCTTATTTTCTTCTTCTTTTCCTTCGTTTTGTTCTTCGATATTTTGACGTTGTTATAGTTGTTGCTGTTCTTCTTCTTCTTCTTCTTCTTCTTCTATTATTATTATTATTATTGTTGTTTTCCCAATTTTTCTCCTGCTTCTAAAAATCCTTTCTTCTTCTTCTTCTTCTTCTTCTTCTTCTTCTTTTTATTATTATTATTATTATTATTATTATTATTATTATTCACCTTCGTTTTATTCGCAAACTTTTCTTCCTCTTCTTCTTATATTTCTATTTCTTATTTCTTTTTTCCATTTCTTCTTCTTATAAATTTCTTCTTCTTCTTCTTCTTTTATTATAGGGACGTTCTCCTTTTTCTCATATTTGTCTTCAATTTCCTTTTCTCTGTCTTTCTTTCTTTTTCCTTTCTTTCATTCTTTCTTTATTTATTTATTTCTTTTTCTTTTTTTTCTTTTTTTTTTACTTTTTTTCTTTATTTCTTTCTCTTTTCCTTTTTCTTTTTTCTTTCTTTTTTGTTTGTTTGTTTCTTTTTTACTTTCTTGTTTCTTTTTTTACTTTCCTTTTTCATTCTTTCCTTTTTCTTTCTTTCTCTCTGATTTTCTTGTTTCTGTCTTTCTTTTATCTTTCTTTTTACTTTCATCTTTCTTTCTTTCTTTTCTACTTTCTTTTTTTCTGTTCTTTCTTTCTTTCTTTACTTTCTTTTTTCTTTATTCTTTTTTACTTTATTTTCTTTCTTTATTTTTTCATTCTTTCTTTCTTTCTTTCTTTCTTTCATTTTACTTCTCTTTTTTTTTATCTTTTCTTTCTTGCTTTTTTTTTTTTAATTTCTTTCTTCCGCAGGTTTATTTTCCACTTTTATTTTTTCATTCAAATTTTATTCTCTTCGTCAGATATCCATTTTTCTTTCTTCAAACGAAAACATTAACCTTTGTTTTCTTTTCTACTTCTTTAAATGTAAATCTAAAATATTTTAATTGAAAACACGATCATTTCCCCACCTTACTTCTCTTTCCTTTTTCGTCAAGTCCTCACGCATTGTAAACATTCTTTCTTTCTTTTGTCCTTCTTTTCCTTCCTTTTTTCCTTCCTTCCTTCTTTCATTCATTCCTTCCTTCCTTCAAAGTTTTTATTTTCTTTTAACTTTGATTTTT